TCTTTCCCTCTTATATCAAATGAACCTACTTATATTTCCAGCATTTAAGTATCAATTGTGCCAAAGAACACATACTTTTATTCTTCTCCAAATGAGCTCTTTCAGTTTTAAGGGTGTTTTAAGTTATGGTTTTCTGGGATTTGGCAAGCAAGTCTTTGGCCACCTGACTCATACCCTCCATATTTTTATAGACACTTTGTTGTATCCCTTCTTAGTATTTCTGCTGGAGAAATCGTAATTCTTTTAATCTCCCCCGGCTCATTGAAGCTGCCCTTCTCTGGACCTTTCTCAGCTCTGCTTTGACTTTCTTGAGCTGTGGTGACCAGAACTTATCCACCCAGGTTACACACAAGCATAAATGACAACCCAAACCAGAATTCAAGGAAGGGACTTCTCGAAGCAAAAATAAAAGTGGAAGTTAGCATTAAGAGAGCACATAGAGAAGCCAGCATAGTGTTCAAAATAAAATTATGTTAGAAACGATGAAAATTAGCCTCACTGTAACAGTTGGCAGAGTCGGAGACAGAAGAAAAATGAGTTTTTAAAAAAGTTGATTCCATTACTTTTAAGTTCCAAACCTGCAAGTTTTTGCTGCCATCACACATAGAATGAAATCAAAATCACCACCGTGGCCAGTGATCTGGCCCCTCTCGGTCTCTCCTAATCCACCTGCACTGGCTCCCACCTTGCCCACTGGGCTCCAGCCACACTGGCCTTCTTGCTGCGCGTGGAGCGCACCATAACCCGCTGTGAGGCCGGGGCCTTCATCCTTGCAGTTCCCTCTGGCTGGACTGTTTCCCCCCAGAGCCCACATACACATCTCACTTCTGCACATCGTTCAGGACTCTGATCAAATGCCACTTCTTCAGAGTGGCCTGCCCTGGCCAGCCATAGCCTCTCCTCCATTGTTCTCCATCCTTGTACCTGCTCTACTGTTCCCATTCTCTAAACATATAGTATGTAGCTGTTTACCTTTTTGTTCCCAGGGACCCCCATTATAGCGTAAGCTCTGTGAGGGTGAAGACTTTGAATTGGTAACTGCCGCATCTTCCTCACACTTAGATTCGTGCCTGACATGGGTGGGTTGTATGAATGAATAAATGAATGAACAAACAGACGCACGCACACCAATTAAAGAGTGGAAGTTCTAGAACCAGATTCTGGGTTTGAATTTCACTATGTGTCCTTTGGTACGTTATTTAACTTCTCTGTATACAGTTTCCTTATTTAAAATATAAGCATAATAACAGTACCCACTCATAGGTTTGTCTTGGAAGATAAATGAGTTAACACAGATAAAGTGCTTAGAACAGTGTTAATAACAAGAGTCAGTACTCCACAAATATTAGGATGATCATGAAAAAGGGCAAGAAGGGAAAAAGAGAAGCAATCGTGGCAGCCCTTCTTGGGTAGTGGGAATTTTCTATTGAAAGATTAAGGTGGGTGTGGCGCTCCAGCAAGTCTCACCTTCTTTGTAATGCTGGGCTGCCAAGGACACAGAATCAATTACAAGGACAACTTCTTGTTGGGGCGAGGGTGGGGTGGTGGAATTTTGTCTGAGGGTTTTTTTTTTTTTTTTACATTTAAGAGACATAAAATCACAACTGCGATACCTTCCATTTCTCAAAGTGGCACATTTGCATAGACTATATATTTAAAGTTTAATACTTGCTTGTGGAACATTCTTTTTAAAGCTTCTGGGTCTGGTATGAGTAAGAGTGTAACACCATTCACACTTTCAAGGCATTACAAGGCAAAAAGGAAAATTGTGACATTGCTGGTTAGTCACAGCCACAAGTTCATATTTCCCAAAGGTTATTTTACTCTCCAGAAACAGAGAAAAAGGAAATTCCTTCAAAAATATGTACATGTCGGGCTTCCCTGGTGGCTCAGTGGTTGAGAGTCCGCCTGCCGATGCAGGGGACACGGGTTCGTGCCCCGGTCCGGGAAGATCCCACGTGCCGCGGAGCAGCTGGGCCCGTGAGCCATGGCTGCTGAGCCTGCGCGTCCGGAGCCTGTGCTCCGCAACGGGAGAGGCCACAACAGTGAGAGGCCCGCGTACCGCAAAAAAAAAAAAAAAAAAAGTATATGTCATTACATATGCTTATTATTGATTTTGAGAGTATATGATCAGTAATTGCCACAATTATCTGAAAGTTTTAGCTTTTGGCAAGTAAGAGTAAAGTCTTTTTTTTAGAAGTTGACTAGTGCAAAGATTAGCCTATTTGTTAATGCAAGACCAATTTAATAAGTGCCAGCTGAGTGGAAAAATGCAATCCTCCTAAGAATTCGGTTTCTGGTCTTTAGTCAGAGCAACAGGTGTTGATAATAAGCGAAGAGTTGTCAGGCAAAATGAGGGCCGACAGGTTCTTGACACACAGTTTGGAAAGTACCGAAAAACCCCCTCTGTCCAGGTCAAGTGGCAGCTGCATGGACGCTGTGGTTTGTTACTTCTGGCCTGAGCCCACCATTTCCTGTACTTGACATTGAACAAAGAATTATTCCAAGGGTGGAGAAAACCTTTTTCTGAAACGTAGTTACCTCAGTAGTCAACCATCATGAATAAGAACACTTCCAGGACACTTTTTAAAAACAATAGCAGCAGAAGATCAGTAGGAACCATGTAAATCATACCAAGGTTAGTTAGATAACTCTTTATGTGTCCTCTACGGGAAGCCCCAAGCGAGAAATTGTGGCCTGTGAACTTCTGTACAGCTTGAGGACAGAGTATAATTTTCCCCTCTAATTATAGTAATTTAGTATATTACTGGTCATCATTTCCTTTTTCTGCCCCCTTTGGTTACCAGAAAGCTTACTTGTGGTTCAACTTTAGCAAGTATATAGGACCTTATGATCTGCTTACTCATGATTCTTTTTACTCCTCTGGTTTTGTTTCTGCTTTCATTAATTTTAACTGAGTTTTAAAGTTCTTAAAAAATATTTTATATTTTATCATATGTGGTGGTGTAAGCTGCTTCATCAAATCCTTCATGAGATAAGATGGTTTTAATGAAATTAATTAAGTTAGGTAGTTTTCGTAAATATAATTCTAACAGCCTGGAGAAGTACACATTATTATCATTCACGTCTTACAGTTAGGAAAATTGCGATTTAAAGATGTCAAAAACTTGCCCAAGATCCAAACACCACGTAGTTTTCACTGTACTATGTTGTACTATCTCATTTCTCTAACAACAACAACAACAAAAATACTTTCTACTGGTTTAAGTATCTTCAGGTAAGAGTAATTACTAAATTGACAATGGTATGAATGAGCTAAAATAAAGTACATTTAAATTACAAAAGAAAAAAGTTAAGCTAGCAGGTAACCTTACCAATAATTATATGTAATCGTAAAATATTAGGCAGTTAGAGGAAGATGAAGAATTTTCTTTGATGAATTTTCTTATTCTATCGCTTTTCTTTGAAAGAAAAAGATATGAGAAGGACAAAATTTAGATAAAAGTTCTAAGTGAAAGTAGAAGAATGGATTAGTTGATCTATATGAGATAAAATGCTTTGTGAAAATCTGTACCAGCCCTTCCTAAGGACTCATTACAGCCCACCAGTGTAAGGAGATGGACGGGCTTTGATCCCCTTTCGAAGGTCACCACTCTGGCCCTAATCCCAGTACGCTGACACCCTGCTGGGCTCAGTCCTGCAGTTAAGTGTCTTTCCTGGGCAATAAAGTCTGTGAAAACAGCACCAGCATGGGCTTGGAACACGTGTGACAAAAAAATTCAAAGTACATATGAGCCAGGATCATTGCCAACTTCATTTTCCAGCCCTTTGTGTAGAGCATAGGATCCTTCCCTCTTTACGTGAACCTGGAAAGCAGCAGCATCTTGCCTGGCGGCACTAACCAGCTGTGCCTCACTGATGGGACTGTAGGAAAAAAACCCATGAAATAAAAGAGGGATGGATCCTCTTCAGATCCAGATATGATCAGGACACAATTCATTAAGCAGCACCGCTTATTTAAGATGTTATTCTATCATTTCTGTCTACCTGCAATTTCAGCAAGAGGTGCAACATTTCTACACAATTGTTTGCTTTAAGTACTGAGTTATAAATGACCAAAGCAAAATTGCCAATGACAGGTTTTACTCTGATGTTAGATTCAAGTCCAGAGTTTGCGGAGACTACACTTCCCTTACTCAAGGCGATAGCACGTTGTTCTGAATAATTTTCCCTAAGGATTTTCAGGCTGTGCTTTTGCAGATTTTCAATGTTTCTCTATTTCTGTATACCTGGACCTGGTAAATGAGAAATCATGCAGGAGAAGCAGGCCCATCTGTTGTGTGCCCAACATGCATCGAACATGCATCAAGTACATTTCACTGAGATGACGGCGCTAGCAAGTTGCTGGGCAGGGATTTGAACTCCAGGCTGCCTGATTCCAAGAGCTGTGCTCTTGCTCGTACACTGCAGTTTCCAGGCTTCCTGCAGCCACAAAGAAGGCACGAGTGTATGCTAGTTCTAAGCACTCTAGAGGTTACGCAAAGGTTATCAACACCCTGAATTCCTGCGTATTTTATAGTCATCTGATTTATTTTATCTGCGGGGCCAGCCCCCTTTAGAATGAGCCTCCTGGCTATGGAACACAAGATCTCATATCGCTCTACTCTATGCATCGGCGTCTTTGACTTGCCTGGTGTGAAGAGGGCTCCTTTTGATCCTCATCCGGGTCCACACCAACCCTGTTAAAGAGAACAGAGAACTGGTAAGGGCCTTGCTGCTGATGAGATGACACAGTCTCTTGGGTCAGATCACCTGAACCAAAGACAATATGAATCAGACGAAAGGTTTGGCAGAAAACCCTCCTACCTCTCCGTGAATCAAAAGAACTTCAAATAGATTTATGGCAAGAGGAGAACTTGTACAGCTGGGCCTCTGCACAGCTGGTGAGATCAGGCACCAACAGCTGTTCCCTGCTGCTGTCTTTCCCAGCAAGAGCAGAAGCGTGAGAACCTGGGACAGGAGCGCTCAGGAAAAGACCTCCATGGCCCCCAAAACAGGGATCCTAGAAGGAAGGCCACCTGTTCTTCCTGCAGGACTCACTGACAAAACTGCTCTGGGAATGTGGTGGCCCAGGCTGGAGCAGGCTCCCCAGGACAGAAGAAAAACAGATCCTTTGTCCAGATGCTCATGGAGGCTGGCGGTAGGGAGGATCCAGGTTTGTGGGGCCTGAGACTTATACAACCTGGGGGGCTCTCTTTAAGCAAATTAATACAAAAATACAAATATAAAATTAGGGATGAAAGTGACTCTTTAAAGAGAAAGAGAAAATAAATTATAACACATTTTATAATTTTAAAATCTGGCAAATTCAACAGACATCTCAACATCTATAAAATACATAATATTCTAATTAATTTACTGCCTGACATACCTCTAAAATAACTTTTTCCTCCTAAGTTTTGCCTGCATACTTTGTTAGTCTCTTTATATGATATAATGATTTTGTATAAGAGAGAATAGGAGGGGGCTTCCCTGATGGCTCAGGGGTTGAGAGTCCGCCTGCCGATGCAGGGGACACGGGTTCGTGCCCCGGTCCGGGAAGATCCCACATGCCGCGGAGCGGCTGGGCCCGTGAGCCATGGCCGTTGAGCCTGCGTGTCTGGAGGCTGTGCTCCTCAACGGGAGAGCCCACAGCAGTGAGAGGCCCACGTACCGCTAAAAACAAATAAATAAATTTCATCTTAAAATAATAATAAATTTACACACACTATGTAATCTTCTTACACTACATAAAATTGATGCATGTGAAAGAGTTTTCTGGCTCTACCAAAAAAAAAAAAAAAAAAAAAAGAGAGAGAGAGAGAATAGGAGGACGAGGTAGTCTCTCCTCTAGCAGAGTCATCACAATTATTAATAATTGGGAGGCATTAAAACATGGTTCCTTACACACACAGGCATGCTTGCTGTGTGCAGTACTGCTAAAGGTTTATACCCCGAAAAGACAAGATTTCTGATAAATTTCACTTCATGCAATTCTCATCAACAATACCCAGTACGCTTATCAGTGTATATGCTGCATCACTGAATGTACGTATTCCTGAATTTCCGTTTTGACAGGGCATCAATGAGAACAGAATCCTCCACTTTGAACTGTACACATCTCATGACTGGAAGAATTTTCCACAGACTAGCTTCTGGCTCAGTGCATTTGAAGCCTTGTTTTTCCTCCACTACCCCCAGACTTGTGAAGCCAGGCTCCATAGGACATGTTCATCTTCCATCCAGCCTCGTGACACGCTTCCTGTAAGCCGTCGCTGCAGGAGGCTGGCCAGCAGTGACTTGCCCTTGCACAGAAGTGACTGCAGACCACACAGCCTCGTCCCACTAAATACAAACTAAATGAGTCCCAATTCGGCTTCCCCTTGGTCAGACCCCATAGCTGCCCAGGGCCACTCCAGAGCCATCTGACCAGGCGAGAAGCATGACAGAGGGGAAACTGTAGTACAAAGAAACAGTGATCAAACCCAACAGTGGTTAAAATATATTCCTTTTGCAAATCTTACGAAAACATAGGACCATGGGAACACAATGCTGGGGCTCTTCCCAGGGCCTTGGAAGGGCCAGAGCATGTGAGGGCCTGGAGGTTGAATTTCCTCTGCTCTGGAGAGTGGGCCTCTGCCTGTGGTGGGCGGCATGGGGGTGCAGCTCAGGGCCTCAGCCACCTGGCTGGGGCTCCGCCAGAGCCTTTCCTGAGAACGTCACAATTTCTTTCCTTCCACTCCGGCCCCTGTAAACACTTCTGCAGTGCCCTTGTTCTGGTCTCTAGATGCCGGGAGGGGAGGCAGGTTAGAAGCTACCAGGCTTGCAGATGTGTTAGTCTGTGAAAGGAAAGCCACTGGTGGAGAGGTGGCTTGTTTAAAATACCTCTGATTCTTCAAAAATTAGTGTCCTCTGGGCATGAATAGCCCCTTTTCTCTAACCCAGAGGGTGAAATGGGTGGCTATTTATTGTGTGCTGAACCTTTTGGCCTTCAGGTAACTAGAAAGGGCCTCTGCTGGGGACTAACCTTTGATTTTCTTAGAGTAGAAAGAGCTATTTGATCTATTTTGTTGAAGTTGGAGGGAGAGGACAGGACGAGGGAGGGGTGGGGGGGGGAAGGGGGTCAGGAAGGAGAAAGGAGGAGGGGGGAGGAAAGAGAAGAGAGAAGGGAGGGAGGGGGCAGTGGAGGGATGGGGGGAGGAAGGAGGGGCAGGCGGGAGAAAAGACTGGGAGAGTTGAAGCGGGGAGGGTGGGAGGATAGACAAGAAGAGAGGGGGAGGGAAAGGAGGAAAGGGTAGGGGAGAGAGAATGGAGGGGAGTTAAGGCCCAGCCTCTCAAGGTGGGTCTAGACAGTGACCTTGGGGTATGGGTGGCCTGAGTCCAACCTCTATGAAGAGTGGGGTCCCAGTTGGAGGCACCCTGTCCCCCTTTCTCGTGGGGCTGGGCCACCTTCAAGCCTCTGGTGGATCTGAGCTCTCTGGCGGATGCTGGGAGCCCCTAGGAGCCTTTATTACTGAGCCCTAACCCCTTTCCCAACACCAGAAGCTACAGGCACCCATGCAGGCTGTGAATTGAACTGAGGGTCCTGAAGTTCCCACTGCTGCATTTGTTTAGGGGCTTTTTTTTTTTTTTTTTTTAGTTCTCTGTCTAGAAAACTGGAGAGAACAGAAATCAAATTTCACAAGAAACCCAACATTTAAAGTTTGAGGCAGCACTGAGGCCTTCCTCCCCAGCAGCAGTCATAGCAGACATTTCTAGTTTCAATTATTCTAGAAGCCAGATGGAGCGGAGGAACGATAGCAGTGGATTAAGTGCTTCAGTTTTATGTGGGACTCGGTGAAAAGCATCTCAGGGGCCCGAGAGATCAGCTGTTTTCCTCGGAGCAAGAATACATCTCCTCTCTCCTGCCGTTTCAGGGAAGCTCAGGGTCTGCTCCTGGGGCCAGGCCTGCAGCCCTCTTGCCTAGAGCAGACTAAACATCTCAAGAGGCTTGAGGAAAGAGAGACTCCATGTGAGTTATTCCCTGCTGGGGCAGCGGTGGGGAACAAAGCAGATGTGGTCCCTGCCCGCACAGGGCATAACAGTTAGGTACGTTTAATTAGAAAAATCTGAAAACTTTCTTATAATTTTTTTGGTTTTATTTTTTTAATTAATTTTTATCGGAGTACAGTTGCTTTACAATGTTGTGTTAGTTTCTACTGTATAGCAAAGTGAATCAGCTATACGTATACATATATCCCCTCCCTTTTGGATTTCCTTCCCATTTAAGTCACCAAAGTGCATTAAGTAGAGTTTCCTGTGCTGTACAGTAGGTTCTCATTAGATCTCTACTTTATACATAGTATCAATAGTGTATATGTGTCAATCCCAATCTCCCAGTTCCTCCCACCCCCCCTTCCTCCCTTAACCCGTTGGTATCCATACATTTGTTCTCTATGCTTTTATAATTGAGGTGCTATGAAGGAATGGCACCTAAGAATGATGCCTTCTTTCTCTTATGATTTTGCCTGCTTTTCATAGCAATCTTGCTAAAATATATTACCTGGCCCCCTGCTTCCTTAAACAGAGTGTGATGGGGCTACTCGGAACTTTACTGGAGGTTTCAGTATCGCCACTGGGCCCATAAAATCTAACACTCACTTGTTATAATGATTTCCAAGAGGTATGTGAACCTCTTTATGCCCATATTAAATGGTCCCTGGCTACTATTCTTTTTCTTTTTGAAATTCTTGTATCTGCCATTTAGATTGCCTTGATTTTCTACCTGCAACAATATGTTAGAATATTGTCTCTAGGCTTGCCCCCTACTTGTCTTTTTTTTAACATCTTTATTGGAGTATAATTGCTTTACAATGGTGTGTTAGTTTCTGCTTTATAACAAAGTGAATCAGTTATACATATACATATATCCCCATATCTCTTCCCTCTTGCGTCTCCCTCCTTCCCACCCTCCCTATCCCACCCCTCTAGGTGGTCACAAAGCACGTAGCTGATCTCCCTGTGCTATGCGGCTGCTTCCCACTAGCTATCTATTTTACATTTGGTAGTGTATATATGTCCATGCCACTCTCTCACTTTGTCACAGCTTACCCTTCCCCCTCCTCGTGTCCTCAGGTCCATTCTTTATGTCTGTGTCTTTATTTCTGTCCTGCCGCTAGGTTCTTCAGAACCTTTTTTTTCTTTTTCTTTTTTTTTTGGATTCCATATATATGTGTTAGCATACGGTATTTGTTTTTCTCTTTCTGACTTACTTCACTCTGTATGACAGACTCTAGGTCCATTCACCTCACTGCAAATAACTCAGTTTCATTTCTTTTTATGGCTGAGTAATATTCCATTGTATATATGTGCCACATCTTCTTTATCCATTCATCTGTTGATGGACTCTTATGTTGCTTCCATGTCCTGGCTATTGTAAATAGAGCTGCAATGAATCACTGTCTGACAACCCTGAACTCCTAATCTTTTTTTGTACGCGGGCTTTTTTCACTGCCGTGGCTTCTTTCGCCGCAGAGCACAGGCCCTTGGACACGCAGTCTCAGCGGCCATGTCCCACGGGGCCAGCCGCTCCACGGCATGTGGGATCTTCTCGGACCGGGGCCCGAACCCGTGTCCCCTGCATCGGCAGGCGGACTCTCAACCACTGTGCCATCAGGGAAGCCCCATGACTCTTTTTGAATTATGGTTTTCTCAGGGAATA